CGAGCTGCGGGAGCACAGCCCGCGGCCTCTCCGCCTGCTCCGGCCGGGAAGCTGCCGGGCTCCGAGCCCCGGGCTCCCCCGGCGCAGCCCCGCACCCCTGGCTCCAGGGCGGTGGGACCCGGGGGAGCCGCCTGGCCTCTGCGGGGTGGAGATGCTCCTCCGGGCACTTCGTGAGGCTGAGTTTCGCAACTTAGGGCTGCGCATCCATTTTTCAGGTCCTTGAAAACTTCCAGCGGTCGTTGAGGGATTTTTGGACCCGACCTGACCGAAAGGGTGGCGGAGATGAGATCCCCATTCCGGGACCCGCCGGGCCGCAGCCCTAGCCCGGGACTGTCCCCTACTGGGGGCCGGCGACAACTGGCTCCGGGGCGGGTGGCTCCGGGGTGTGTCTGCGGCGGCGGCGCCGCGCCTCCCCGCGGGTCGGGGAGTACCTGTGCTGGGCGGCGGGGAAGGCGCGCAGCCTCGGGGCTCCCCGCGCCGACTTAGTCCGGAGCAGCTGTGAACGCTTCCAGCCAGATCTTTCCACCCTCTTCCCCCAGGCGTTCACATGTGTGTATCTGGGTGGGGTGAGCGGGAGCCGCTCCGTCACTGGCTTCAATGCTTTTCCCCTGAATGGCCCCATTTTCATATTATGCTCACGGTTTTCAGTCCAGCATTCCATTGTCAAATTCTTTGGGTGATAATTTTGCCAGATTTTCTGAATGGGATTAGGACAGGCTGTTCAGAAATCCGTTTCAGTTTGTCAGCCACTGCCCTGAAGGGTGCTTTCATATTATAGCTGCTCTCAAGCAAATCTTTAGAATAGTCAGCCTCCAGCTCTTTTTTGTGGGGGTGGGCAAGGTCACACAGTTCTATTTTTTAAGACCAGCCAAGAAACATGTGTATTGAATGCTGGGATCGTTTACTGCAAGTGAGTTTGAGACAAGGTTTCCTAAACGCTGAAGTGGCTTAGCAATTGGGAGCTTCCTTGGATTTAAAAGTAATTTCTGGTAGAGGAAACTTTCAATTGCTTCTGTTTTGCTTCTCATACGCGTTGAGGACTTTACTAAGGCAGCTCATATCACTTTCAGAGCTGAAGAAATTATGTTCTTTATTGCATTCATAAATCCTGTTTATTGCAGGAATCCTTCATAATTCTTTATAGGTATTTCTGCACAGTGAACTATTAGATCTCTTTAGGGATTAATTCTGAATTGTTTAAAAAGCTGTTTTGTTTTTAATTGTTGACTTTGGAGTTTGGGAACCACATTCCAAAGCAAAGCAACACTCTCCAGAGGAAGTGCTTTTGTGTACTTTTTGGTTCTTGGCTTCTCTGTGAACTTTTCCCCTAGATAACACTTAATTTTCTCCCCCCCCCTTCTCCCCAGACTCTAGAGCAAAGTCTGAAATGGATGTTACATGAATCATTTTCAGGGATGCACACAACTGTGAACCTTTCTGAAGCATTTTTCTCAGCAAAGTAGATAAACATGGATGAATCTGCCTTGTTGGATCTTTTGGAGTGTCCTGTATGCCTTGAGCGCCTGGATGCTTCCGCCAAGGTCTTGCCTTGCCAGCACACGTTTTGCAAACGATGTTTGCTGGGGATTGTAGGGTCCCGAAATGAACTCCGATGTCCCGAGTGCAGGACTCTCGTTGGCTCGGGTGTGGAGGAGCTTCCCAGTAACATCCTGCTGGTCAGACTTCTGGATGGCATCAAGCAGAGGCCTTGGAAACCTGGCCCTGGTGGGGGCAGTGGGACTAACTGCACAAATGCTTTGAGAGTTCAGAGCAGCACTGTGGCTAACTGTGGCTCGAAAGATCTGCAGAGCTCCCAGGGTGGACAGCAGCCTCGTGTGCAAGCCTGGAGCCCCCCGGTGAGGGTGAGTAGTCAGTAGTGGTAGTTCAGTGAATGAAGGTGATGACAACCTCGTATTTTTCTTTATTCTTTAGCCTGATGTTTTCTAAATCAGCTCATTGCTTAAGAAACCATACTTCTGGAACACCATAGATGATACTCAGCATCTTTATTTTCCCTCAATGTCAGAATGAGATGAGGTGTAAATAAAAATGTCTTATTTTTACATTTCTCTCTAGATAGTCTATTATCTTTTAAGATACATTTTGGGGAGAAAAGTAGCAATTATTCAATGAAAGCTAAAATAGTAGGGGTTTTTTTGATGTCCGTTTGAAAATGCAATTTGATATGGTTTTACCTTTTGATGAGGGGGGAAGAGCCATAATTACGTATGTGTGTTTGTGTTGTAAATGCCCTGGGTAAATCCTAAGTAGGAAATCATGCCTTAATTTTTTTTGTTGCTTAGAGACATTCTATCGGTTTTATGAATGCATAGCACAGAATTTACTGGTTGGAGGAATCCTTAACAAATCATGGCCACAGGTAGCAGAGTTTCGTTGCTGTAGCAACCAAATGTCAGTACTGTGCTAAAGCATCTAGCTTTTATGCGGGGCCTTGCAGGGTGTGAAATGAAATATTTTCAACAAAATGATTTTTCTTGGGATTTGGGTTTGGACTGACATCATTTTAGGTGAACCTAAGTATTTGCAGTTACCTCAACTTGAATTTCCAGAAGGTAAAATGTTCCAAATAAATACAAATTATGTTGCAGGTGATGGCTCCCTGATAAGATGTGCTTGTGAAAAATAAAAGGTACTCGTGGATATCAGATAATTAAAACAATTTTTTGTTGTTGTTAGAGAGATTTTTAATATAGAACCTGTACACTCCCCGGAGAGGCCATGAGAGACAGAGAGACAGAAAACAAGAAACCCTCCTCTAGGGGGATGGCCATGCCACAGTCTCTTCTCCATTTTCTCTCGGGATTTTGGGCACGCACACACACATTGCCCTGAGTGAGTAATAAGCCACTGGGTTGGGGACTCAAACCACAGTTGACTACTTGGGAGTCCTGTGATGTAACCATTATGCCATCTGCTGGTCCCAAGAACGATTGAATTTTTATTGGAAGAAACAATTTGGATAATTAGCTAGTTAACCTGCATGAGAATATTCTTTTCAAACATTCAGAGTAAACATTCAGGATGGCCTTTGTATAGAACTACAGGCTGGGATGGCATTCGATAGTGTACATTTACAGATGTGGACATCGGCTTTAGCGGAGCAGTTCCTTTACTCCCTAGCCACACTCATCTTTTACAAACGTGAAGTGCCTGCATCACTGATGTAAAATCTGTAAACCATTTTAATCACTAAATAGAAAACTATTTGGATCACTAAAACCAGTTTTAGCACCAGGCTATCAGGTTCCTTTTGATTCTTCTTCAATTTTTTTGGAGAGGTAGCGGCAACTCTGGGTTAGGGAGCTTGTCTTTCCGTATTTGGAGCCCACATGTTGTGAAATGTATCTGCTTCCAGAGATTTTCTTAGATTTCCTCTGTTTTGTGGTGCTTACTGTTACCTCATTAGTGTTTATGGACTCATCAATATTTTCAGTTCAGAACCAGTGATCACACAAGGTTTCTGAGACACCTGACCCCGGCTGCTTAGCTTACTGAAGAGATAGATTTGCATCTTTGGAGAGGTTTTGTTTCCCTGTTAATTAGCCTAGGGAAGGCATAGCTTCTAGCTATGCACAGGAGGGTCTTGGTTGTTGACACACCGCCTTACCTGTTGTGAGGAATGCATTGAATGTTTGATCACAGATAAAAAGGAATTTAAGGAGAGGCTCCAGACCTTCAGCTAAGTATCTTGGAATTTGTAGTTTTCTTTCTAACCTAGAAACTGGCTATGTAAATATGGCTTAAGTGAATTTTCATGTATCTGAACTGCTAAACTCTTCAAATTGAACTTCACCTTCCATAGAAAATTATTTGGAGATTTTGATCACGTTAGTATTTTCATAGTTTCTGTGATTTTCTTTAATTACTTCATATTTCTTCATTAGCATGATAAAAATTACTTGCCAAGAAATCCAACTCAATGTGAGCCTTATAATTTCTGTGAAATCGCTTGGGTGGATAAATCTGGAATTGAATCTGTTGTTTTGCTGGAGAAAGGTGGAGGACAAAAACCCAAGAAATAATTCAGTGTTTCTTAAAAGAATAGCTTCTTTTCTAGTCTAAAATGGTAGGTCAGTAGCAGTTGCTAGTACCTATTGTTTTCTAGTATTCTTAACAACTAGAATATGTTATTAAGATACGGTCCGAACACCTGAGAGATAAATACATCTTCGGAAAAGACTCCTTTTACAAATAAGAAATCTATAAAACCCGGCCACGTGGAGGTTGTAATCCACTCCTCTGGCCTCTTCCCGGAGGTGAGTGACTGCAGTAAATCCCAAACATGCACCCTCCTCTCTTAGATGTTCTCACACAACCAAGTGGGGTGCAAGGAGCCTGCTTCCACATGTTGTGCAAAGCTGAAAGTGGTAACATGTGGAATGTTGCTTCGGTTTATTAGTTATGTTCTACGTTCCATTAGATTGTGACCATGTGGCTTCCTCATGCCAAGATTTAGATCGAATGTTATCAGAAGGTTTGAACATTTCCAGTCTGTGATACACGCGCACATCTTGTTCCCAGAATTTTAGTGTTTCCTGCCTAATATTAAGGAGAAAAGGAAAGATTGTGGAGTCGGAGTCACCATGGGACTCTGCCAGTTCTCCATTCCAAATAAAGGTGCCTATTGGTTTTAGGCCCAAGTTAAACAGTGGAATGAGCACAGGCAGAAGGAGTCTGTAGATAACCATTTCAGTAGATTAAAACATATACCTGCAAGCCCATCTGTGGTGGTACAGGGCGAAGGGGACCACTGAGTGGTGGCTAAGGCTGTATAGAAAGCCCAAGTTCTGTTCCTGGCCAAACCTAAACAGGCCAGGCATGGCGTGGCATACCTGTGTCCTTGCTAACTAGGAGGCTGGGGCAGAAGGATTATGACCTGGCGTGACTGTCAGAAATGCCTATCTCCCCCTCTCTTTCTTTCCCTCCCTCTCATGTTTTCTCTCTCTTATTAAAAAAAAAAAAATACAGTAACAAAAAAAACTCAGTCTCAGTGACACTGGTGGTAGTGGACTGAACCATGTACTGCTGGAAGCCATATGGCTGATCAAGGGTTTGGCTCCCTGGTTTGAAGCACTCTGTGAACACACACGCATGCTCATGAGCCTGACAAGCTGGCGGGCTGTGGAAGGGGATTCTAGGGTGATAAGACCCTGCCCAAGATGCTTCTTTCTCTCTCTTTTCCCACTCTGTCCCTTCCTTCCACTCACCTCCCCTCCTTGCTGCATGCATGCACTATCATGAATAAAATAAAAATCTTAAAGGAGTACCTGCAGAAGATAAAATACATATATAAAAATTAGATATGGAAAACATTTCACTCCTTCCTATAGAATGGTGACCTAACAGAATAGCACAACTTCTGCTTTCTATGTGTAGTTCCATTAGTCTCAGATCTATTAACATCTGTGCTTATATCTGGCATCTAGATATCACTGCTTAATGGGTTCTCACTGCCTCTACCGCAGAGTAAATGATTCAGCAAAAGTAGATCGCATGATCACTGATGTGCATTAATTCACACTTCATGTACACTTTCCTTTATCAAGTGTTTATTAAGTGCTTAGTAGGTACCAAGCACCACACTAGCTGCTGAACAGGTCACGATGGACTCATCAGATACAGTTTCTGCTTACGAAATTTTGAGTGTCTTATTATTCTTGTGGGAGAGATAAACTGATCAAATAACAGTGTAGTAATTAAATGTGCTATATTTTTTTGGAGAGGTTTTAGCTATAGGGTGCATGCGCTCACCAGAAAGACAGAGAGATAGAAAGTGAGAAATCACCCCCTGTGGGGATGGCCACGCTGCAAACCCTTCTCCTCCATTCTCCTCTCAGGATCTTGGGCATGCACGCACATGCACCCAGCATGAGTTTAAGCCACCAGGTCCGGGACTCAAACCACAGTCGGCTACATGGGAGTTCAGCGACATAGCCATTATGCTAACTGCTGGTCCGTAAATGTGCTACATTCTACTATAACAGAGCTGGAGAGAAGATAGGAGAAGGGCCTGTGTTTAGTGTGAGGATAATGTCTGTGTGGTCTTCAAAACCTTCCTTGGGGAAGAGGCATTTGTTCTGAGGTCTTTCCTTTTGTTTTTTGAGAGGTTTTTACCTTAGGGGCTGTGTGCTCACCAGACATGCGCATGCGCGTGCACACACACACACACACACACACACACACACACACAGTGAGAGGGAAAGTGAGAAATCACCCCTAGTCAGCAGCCTCAGTCCCTTCTCCATTCTCCTCCAGGGATCTTGAGCACGCATATGTGCCTGGTATGATTTTCAAGCCACTCAGGTCTGGGACTCTGGTCGACCATGTGGGAGTCCAGTACTGTAACTGCTATGCCATCTGCTGGTCCCTGTGCTGAGGTCTTAAGATGAAATAATATTAATTAGGTGATTGGCTGCTGAGCACAGAAAGGGACAAAGGATAAGAACATTCCAAAGGCCTTGACCTGCAGAGGGAGGGAGCATGGCTTTTCAGAAGAACTGGGACTAGCAATTGGTGTAATGGCTATGTTGCTGGATTCCCATGTAGTTGTCTGCAATTTGACCATGTTTCAAGTCCCCGACCTGGTGGCTTAAACTCTTGCTGGGCATGTGTGTGTGCATGCCTAGGATCCCGAGAGGAGAATGGAGGAGAAGGGATTGTGGTGTGGCCACCC